AACCTAGGCGTTCGAGTTTCGCAACTAGAGTTCTATGCGATACCTTGTCGAAAGGCTTCGAAAAGTCTGTGTAGCTACAATCCACCTGAGATGCATTAGAAAAAGGCGAAATACAATATTCACTAAAGGCCGCAAGATTTGAGACCGTGGAGCGCCCAGGTACAAAACCATGTTGGTAAGGGCAAATGATACTCTTGGCCGAGAAATACATTTTATCCTTAACGATGTTCGAATGCAGTTTAGACACGGTAGACAGTTTAGAAATCGGTCTATAGTTACTAATATCATTTTTGTCTCCACTTTTGAAAATTGGAATTACAGAGGCCAATTTCCAAACTTTTAAAAACACCCCAGTAGAAAGAGACTTGTTAAAGATAGTTTTCAATGGAAGGATCAGTGCTGGACAATTTTTTAATAAAAGTGCGGATACTCCATCGATGTCAGTTCTTGCGGAAGTCTTCAGATCAACAAGACCTTTCGATACATCATCGTATGAGAGGTAAAAGGAACCAAAGTCAAATGAGGAACTAACACCGAGTGCAGGCCCAATTTCAAGATTTGTGTCTAAATCACACTCGAAGTTGGATTTGAAGAACTCAGCGAACAGATTAGCAATATCAGCGGGAGTATCCGCAGATTTATTATTGAGGAAAACTGAAGATGGAATAGAAGAGCATGATTTTCGATTTGACAAAGTTCCAGAAGGCTTTAGGGTTAGATTTATTATTAAGTTCGAAATTAAGGACATACTTTTTGTGAAGAAACTTATCAAGGCAGTTAAACTCTTAAAAAACGCTTGTACATTGAGTAGTAACTCGGACTATTGGTTGATTTGTATTTGTTATAATATTTATTTGGCTGATTTTTGAGCTTCTTTAATCGAGAATTATACCAAGGTAGTTTATATGGCTTACTTTTGACGGTGGGAATGTTGGCAGAACAAATGTCAAACAAAATTGTCTTGAAGGTGTTAAAGCAGTTGTCGGCATCCAAGTCATCGAGCAAGTCGGACCAGTTCAAATCTGCGAACAAATTGTTAATGCCTTCAAAGTCACAGCGAGCGTAATTGAAGGCAATATTATTAGTACCTATAGTGATCGTGGCGAAATGATAAAATTCCATCTGAAGAATGAGCGCAACTTGATGCAGACCTGCTGCTGTAATTGGGCAAGACATTTGGTAATGTTGTAATTTACCCCATCACAAATGAAAATTAAATCTAAAATTCTATCGAGTTCGTTCACAAAATTATTAATTTGCGATAGGTTAAGACTAAGTAAATTATCAATAGATAAGATTCATGAAAGGAAGATAGATTATTAGTAAGCCCATTGGAAGTATAACTATTTGACCACTTAACATTACTAAGATTGAAATCGCCGAATACACAGACAAGATTGAGGATGTGCCAAATGAGTGTCCGGCATGCGGAGAGACCCCACATGACTCGCAACATCTCTTCGCATGCCCGGAATACCCGACAACCCTAACGGCCTTGTCCCTGTGGACCAACCCCGCAGAAGGGCTGCCGTTAGTGGAACTTGACGACAACGACTGAGATACCAACCGACCTGGGCGGGGTTGTTGTAGCCGCTACAACAACAACAACAACAAGATTGTCGCCCATCGTATTGTGAACAAAATATGTAACGTTGTCTGCATGAGCCCTATATAGGCTATCTACACTGTTTGGTGGAATGTACGAAGCAAATAGAAACAAATAACCAGAAATTGATGACCCATCAACACGAACGCAAAGCTGATCCGGTAGTGAGTCAGTATTATTCAGGTTGATCGATGAAGCGCGGAATTTCCGATTCACTGCAATCCAGACGCCTCCGCCCGTGGAGCGGCCAGTCTTAGCGGTGTCTCTATCTTTCCGGAAGACAACAAAGAGCATGGGGTCGAAGAATTCCGCACCGAAAAAATCGGCAGTAAGCCATGTTTCAACAATAACGAAGATATCAAAGTCCTGTTAAGAGCTGAATGACATAACCAGATCAGATTTGGTTCTTAGGCCGGGGATATTTTGAAAATATATTCTTAAATTATTACAATCCTTAGGCATATCTGAACTAGCTTGTGGCGTAGTGGAGCTAGCTGAGTTCCTTACGGCCCTCCTTGGGGAAAAAACGAAACGGGCGAACAGTAACATCAGCCGGCCACAGATCAGAGGAAAGCAGCTTAGCGAATAGCGAATGGAATAGTCAAAAGATCCAATTTACGATTGCAATCAATTTCTTTCAAAACTATAATCTAAAGGATTGATAGTTGTACTTTTTACGATTAAAATATTAATAATCAATTTTAATTATAATCAAAACATATTCCAATATTAGGTATATTATGCAAATGCAATCCGATCTGATTTGAGTTATTCAGTTATGGATACATTTTTATTTCTGTGTTCGTATGGAATAGTAGCTAATGTCGGGAAGCTGGCTTTAGTATAATCCGGCATTCCCTTTATTCTTTGCAACACAAGGAATTTTTCTATGAGGCTTAACAAGAATATTGACTTGCTAGTATCGGAACTATTTCTTGCACGTTTAATTGCCAAAATTTCTTCAACAGCTCGGCGCCAGTGAGTCATTCGCAAGGGTATGCTGCGAATGCCGCATTATACTAAAGCCAGCCTTTTGACATAAGCTACTATTCCAAGCAGATTTCATAACATACTCAAATTTTACATACAAAACGGAGCATATATAATCACTGTAACGTTGTTGACGTGTATAATCACTCTGCGGAAAATTAAAAAAAAAACAGCCGAATTGTTGGGATTTTAACCAGCGTTAGAGACAGTGACTTATATAGCAAAGTGCTAATAAATTGTGCTACTTGCAAACACACAAATTTGTTACATTTCGCTTAAACAAATAAATAAGTATAGCTAAGAGACATAAAAGTGCAGTGAGGTGACAAAAATAATAAGGCGCGAAAATGGATTAATGCCATAAGTGCAAGAATCCAATTCGCGGTGACAGCGGAATCCGTTGCAACGGTGGGTGTGGTAAAGTGTGGCACTGGGCCAAAAAATGCTTTGAGTTGGATGAGTACAGTGCGAATGTACTCAAAGAAAACAACCTTGTGCGCTTTATGTGTAACCAATGTCACACATACATGCATTACATTAATGACCCAGCAAGAAGAGTCCCGGTCACCTAACTTAGTAACGTTACCGGCACGCGTGACATTTAAACGGCCACCGAACGCTGTTCATTATAAGCACTTTGTTAAGAGCGATGGGAAAATAGTCCCAAAAGTCTTGTGTACGTGTGACTTTCTATCACCTTCTTACCCATGCGTTTGTCCAATATAAATATATATACATCCATCTTGGTCACACTCATAGGTTTTAAGGGCTTTGGTATTGTAGCGACAAGTAAAACCGCATTTAGCGCGCCGCCGGATATCCGGTGCAATAGTCGAATGGCTAACAGCTCGCCCCTCATCCTGAAGTTCTGGGTTCGAATCCAAAAAAAAAACTCATATTTTTTTATATTTTTTTGATGTATTTTTTTATTAATACAAGTTAGTTAAGCAAATTATAAAGTATTTAATTTATGTTGTAGATTAAATAATTTTTAATAAATAAAAGTAAACAATTAAGTTGTTTTGTTATGTCCATAAAAGTATATTTTATATGCAACATTATATAAAAGAACTTAATATCGGAAGTGAAGTTAATTCAGTTTTAATTGAAAACTATGTACATTTTATTATTTATGTATATAATTTATATTTAAATAAATAAAACTATATTAAATTCATATATCCAAAATTATTTAGCAGCATATAATGAAACCAAAAGTTAACATTTGAAATCAAAAACTAATTAATAATAGGCTACATACATTTTACATTATTTTGTTATTAATATGAAAGATCGAAAAAAAATTGTGTTCAAACTAAGTTGATTATTTTAGTTAATAATTTAAATTTTTTACTATTTTGTTAATTATATAAAAGAATATAAAAATGAAAATGTTAACACTAGGCGTTTAACAACTGCAGCAAACCAAATCTTGTCTTATTTCAAAATTTTTTTTTACTTTTATTCTATAGTAGCGTTGGAGCACTAACAAAAACCATTTAAAATGCCTTTGTTAGAGTTCTAAAGCTAAATTCAATATAATATGAAATTGCAATACATTATATAGTTAAATGCCTAGTGTTAATATTCATACTTTGGCATATATGTATGTACACCCGTGGAGACAGAAATGGCACAAAAATGTTAAGACAATTTACAACCATGTTTTATAAAAAAAAATTGTTAGTTAATTTTAGGATAAACTTAACTGAATTCTATAACGAAAACCATGTAAAATAGTTAAAAAATTTAAAAAAATTTGTAAATTCCAGAAACAAAAAAAATATAAAAATGTTTGCTTTTTCTCAGAATTTTCAGAAAATTTTTTGGTATGCAGTTTTGTAGGCCAATTAATTTTAGTCTAACAAAGTGCAAACCTAAAGTCTCCCATGATTCGTGTTAATTTTTTTAATTTTTTCTCTGAAAGGTATTTTATTTTTGCTTCCACATAAATTTTGCGAAATCTAATTTTTGTATGGAAGAAAATCTCAAACAGCCTTAAAAAAAATATCAAAAATCAACGCGAATTTAGAGAGACTTCACGTTTGCACTTTGAAAGACTAAAATTGGTTGGGCTACAAAACTACATAATCAAAATTTTTTTGAAAATTCTGAGTAAAAATTTCGAAATTTTCATGAACGTTTGCAAAATTTTCTCGAATTTTCAAAATTTTTCGAAGACTATTTTAAAACTATTTTACATGGTTTTCGTTATAGAATTCATTAAGTTTTTCCTAAAATTAGCAAAATAGATTTTTGGAAACCATGGCTGTAAGTTATCTTAACATTTTTGTGCCATTTCTGTGTCCACGGATGTCCTTTGTATATATTTACTTATTACAACAAGTATATACTTATTGTTTATATTGAGGTATTACTTATATTTATATTTCCTACTTTTGAGGTGTTTCTCTGCCGGTATTTTCGCTGCTTAAATCGGAGGTGGCTAAGCTCAACAGACTTACGAATGTTTTTTTCGTAAGCAGCCCTAAATGGAGCTGGGAAACATCTCGTAAGGAAATACAGACACGAAATTGAAGATACAGTGGAAATATTGGCATATACAAATTACCTACCATACAAAATTTCCGACACAACAGAAAGCTGGGACAGCGCCTGCTTGTTACCTCTGCCATCCCGGTTGCAAAGGTATAGAAAATCGTCGTTGAAAAGCTGACGGAACCAATCGTCAACAGTGCTGTCTTGGCCAAGGTGTATTAAACAAGGTGTGATTGACAACTCAGGTAGGCTCTCTTTTAAGGTACTATTATGCCAAAAAATATAAACAAACGATTCAAAATTCAAAAAATTTTTTCAATTTGACTTTATAGGATGGTTCTTCTGAGAACAATGCCAAATTCAATCGCACTTTGTTGAATACATTTTGGTCTTGACCCTTCAGCCGTAAAAGAAAAGTTTTCAGAAAATACACAACATTTGTTATTAGTTCACATAAAAAGTAGTTACATTGGTCACATTTAACTCACCATTGCCTCGATATACTCTTGTTGCAGCAGCTTTATTTCAAACTCCTTAGCTGCAGCCAACGTCTAAAAAGGCAGTGTTGCCGCGATTTCCGATTAAAGTGGATTTACTTCCTCCCCGGTAATTTTGCAAACGGAACTTTGTATTCTTCGGAGTATGACTTTGCACTCACGAATCGTCTTACATTGCGTGAGCTGCTCACTGGCTTTGATTTTCTGAAAGTACTTAACATAATTATACGGCAGTTTGGTTTTTAATTTTTAGTTTTTAATTATTAATTTTTAGTATTCAATTTGGATCATATTTTACAGTATAGTGTTCACTGTGTTTTTATACCCGAGCGCACTTGTGCACAAGGGTATTATAACTTTGTTCACATAACGGTTGTTTGTAACAGGCAAAACGAATCGAGATAGATATAGACAAATGTATACATAAATGATCAGAATGAAAAGAGAAATCGATTAAGCGGTGACTGTCTGTCCGTCCGTCCGTCTGTCCGTCCGTCCGTCCGTCCGTCTGTGCACACGATAACTCGAGTAAAAATTGAGATATCTTAACGAAACTTGGTACATGCACTTCTTTTGGGAGTAGGACGGACGGTATTGCAAATGGGCGAAATCGGACAATAACCACGCCTACCTCCCATATAACGGTAATTTTCAGAAATACAAAAACTGCGATATTTTAGTAACTACTGAAGATAATTGACTCAAAATTGACATTTAGAATAACCTTTGGACGAAAAATAAGAAAATTAAAAATTTTTGGAAAATGGGCGTAGCCACGCCCACTTATAGTTACATGTGTATATCTTGGTAACCGCTGCACCAATTTCTTCCAAACTTTGCACAGTTGTTGGCCTTGACATCACCTACGAAATGACTGAAAATTTTTAAAATCGGACAATAACCACGCCCACATCCCATATAACGGTAATTTAGAGAAATACGAAATCTTCGATAAATCGGTAAATATGGAAGCTAGTGTATTCAAACTCGGTATGGTTATTGTGCTTGCCACACAAAGGCAAACTCTTGAAAATTGTTGAAATCGGACTAAAATTACGGCCGCTTTTCATATAACGGTAAATTTCAGAAATGCTTGAAATTTAAATATTTCGAAATTTAAGGACGCTAATTTACTTAAAATTTATACACCCCGGCTTAGCATGTAGCGGTAGCTTTCGAAAAGGTGGAAAACATATATTTAATACTTGCGCCGGGTATTTAATGTTCGGCTCCGCCCGAACTTAGACTTTCTTACTTGTTGCATATGGAAAATATGCGTGGAAAAATGTATGCGTGTGAGGAGGTTGGGGATGAGTTAAATACGAACATTTTCTCTGCAGGAGCCTTCTATATTATTTAGCCGCTTATCCAAAGCATCCAAACGGTCGATACCTGCCCTCTGGTGCTCTAATATTTTATCTGGATTTTTTAATATTTCTTCAGCAATTCCTCCATCCCTGCAGAAAAGAGAATCGTTTAATTATAGGTGAAAATTAAAACTATACATAAAAAATACCTTTTTCCCCAGCTGATTGCTGACCCTGAGTGCCTATACTCTCCTTGGAAATAAAAACTCCATATCTGAAATAAAATATAAAAACAGCAGTATCAAATTCTTATTATTTAAAATTAAATTTGAAAATCATCAAAAAGGTGATGCAAAAGTGGAATGAGTAAATATTTGCCTTCATGGGGAATACAAAAGTATTTGTATTCAACGTCTTCTTTTGGTATTTTTAATAGTGTAGCTCCTAATTGAACACCTAGTATTATACCTAGCGCAGGAGAAGATTGTACTGGCTCAACAAAATAATTTTCTAATTTTTCAAATGTGTATCCTATCAAATAACCACGATCTGCAGCTTCCTCAATGCCTATTATTTTAACGGGACCTGTTTTTCGATTGAAGCAATAGGAATCTTTTTCTTTTTTGTGGTCAATTTCAAAAGTACCAAATTTTGAAACATTACTGTTTGTTATGACTTCATTTTTTTCTGCTAGTCTTAGGTAAATTTGCTCAAGAATTTGGTTCGGCTTTTTAACAATTTTTAAATATTGCATTTAGTTTTCAAACTTGTATGCAGAAAAACTATCCAAAATTCCATACTGCCTAGCACAATCTGTTAAGTGCAACAAGCCATGCACATTATAACTTACTAAATAATCAACATAAATTTGTCCAAACATATTAACAAAATCCTGTAAAATATTTTGGGCAACGTTGCTTTCAGCTTTCAATGCCTTTTGGCTTGATAGCAACCGTATTCCTGTGTGCAATAAGAGGAAGTGAAAGTAAGCATCACTGCTAACACAGTCTTTTAAAACGAATATTCCTATATACAATAAAAATTGTATATGGGAGTTTCCAGCGGAAGGTCCACCACGACAAAAAAAATGAAAGTTTTATATCTAACGTATTTACGGGCCGATTTGTCTGCTTTTTAAAATATATACTGGCTATGTAAGTAGAATCATGTTTGCATAAAATGGTCTTCCTAGGATGTGCCAAGGTCGAGATATTTCGAAAAACCGTATTTATGGTTCGATTTGGTTCGAATTTGGCGTATGTGGTTGAAACATAATAAATCATAGAATTCTAATAAATTGACCCTGAATTGGCGCTGAAGTCAAAATATAAAGTATATTCTACATAAAATACATGTTTTATTTGCGTTGAAAATTCATTTAAAAGCAATATTAACAAATATATAACGATGGAAATTTATGTCACGTGACGCCAGTCACGTCACGTTTCACACTTGGGGTTGCAAAAGAGAATTGAAACAATTGGCATTAATTCAAAAACTCTAAAAACAACTAGAATTGATCCAAATCATATTAAAATAAGTTTCATGAAAATAGCCATCCACAATTCGCAGAGTTTTGCGAATATAGAGCTAATTATGTGCTATACAATGGCCCAAAAAAGTTAAAGAAAACAAATGGTATTCCTTTTTTGTATCACATTGAAATCGTACGACTGTCACGTGCGCCACCATGGGAATGCCCATATATTCAGTTGACTTCTAGTTGCTGATTTCATTGAAGTCCCTGCACACACGACCAAACTCTGTGGGGACGAATTTTGTCAAAAAAATAAATTTTTTCATTTATTTTTGTAACGTTAGCGCTCTTCATTAGTAACTTAATCAATTTTTTTGTTACACCAAGATCGACTAGGTGCATTGGATCAAGCGGAAATTGCGACACCATTTTAAAATCAGCTTTTTCTAAAACATTTTCGCAAGTTCTAAAAGTGGAAATATGATGTGCCGGATCTGTTCTACATTTAAAAGCAAAATCAGATCGAAGTTTATCAATTTTTTTTTGAAAAGCAAGTTCTTTTATTTACATAATTTCCTACTTGGTCACATTTTCTGCAGCTATTTTTACCATTATGTGATTGTACAGCTGTGACAAAAGCACGAGCAGGTGTATCACAACAAAACAAGCGGATATCAAATTTTTTCTTTACGGGATCTCAACCAACTTGAAGTCCGTTTTCTTTTAAATTACAACAATGGCTCCAAGGATAGGCCATAAAACTTTACTGGAACTTTTATACAATTTAAGACCGTCAATTCCTACGTCTATTTCTACTTCATCCTTATCTTTGAGAAATGGAAACGCGTCTGTTTTAAAATGGTGTTGTATTCCGCGGTATAAAAATTTTCCACGGGATGGACTGAATAACTACTTTTTTGTTACTCGTATTAAAAAGAGTTTCAGCCGAAAGGGGCACTTTTTAATTTCAAACGCACACTCACTTTCGACCGTTTCAATTTCAGGTGCAGTATAACTGTCTTTACTGATGAGAACCGACTCATCGGAGCAGTCCGAGCTACAGTCTTCCAACACAATTTCGCCATTATGACGCGTGTCGTCAGTAACACCAAGCATTCTGGCAAATTTTGCCGCACTTGACCGCCACTCACTATTTTCGCGGCTCATTGGCAAATGTTTTTTTGTTCATTGCTTTACTTACCCTTACTTTAAACAGCCAAAAACTTCGCACTACAGCACAGTGAAAACAATAAACAAATAATAATTTTATTTTATTTTGATATTAATCAATAGAAATTTTTGTAAACAATTCGCGCAAATTCAAAGTCGTCCGCACAATATACATTATAATAATCATTTGACATTTGGCACCCGGGTTGCTTTGTTTTTCTATTTTCACTGAAGCATGAGCGAAAAAATATATATGAGTCTAATTAGCTAGACTGCTTGCACAATTCACGCACAACAATGAAAAATTCGAATTGGAATCGATTGAAAGTGCGAGTGTGTTAGTGACAATAAAAATTTGTAATCGTATTCGAGTTTCGGTCACGGAGGTTTTGCTGGGGAGGTGCTCCGAAATATGAACTTAACAATAGAGAAAAATAGTCAAAAGATCCAAGAACTTCCCTTGCAATCAATAGAGAAACAATTTGGGGAACGCATTGATGCAATGCAAATAGTACAAAAAACCTGTGAGGCGAGTATTCTCGAAGTGAACCAAATTAAGTCAATAGCTGACGGCGTAAAAAAGCAAAGCCATGATCTTTGTGAAGTCATAGCCAGTGATGCCAGACATTCTCTGTTAAATATCCCACGGAAATGGGGGAAAAATCCCTCAATTACGCACATCTTGAAAATTTATCCCAC